GTTTTCTAAATTAGGGCCCCTTTTACAAGGGTGCCGTACCATATTCGGGGCCGAACAGGGATCCTCATGTAGAGAACAGCCCTTATACCTAAAAACCCTGTGTTAGTCGTTAAAAGACCAAGGCAACAAAATCTGCGACCGTGGCGCACAAGCCTTGGCACAGGTGCCTCGGACTTCTGCGATTCTGGGGTATAGCTTCTTTGTCCTGAATCATAGCCACATGATGTATAACAATGCTTATTGTGTATGTATACAATCTGTATGTATGTACATATGAGCGGATCGGCTACGATTATTTTTCTGATTTATATGCATTGCATACTATCTTCTCCCAGCGGAGTGCAACTTTGCAGCGGAAAACGAAACAAGTCCGAGACTGCAATGGGCCCAGGCACTCGAATACAACTTCGGGCTGCAGTTTCTTGGGCTTGGTCGCAGCTCGTGCTGATCACATCCTTCATCGATCTTGCTCAAAGTGACAGCGATGCTGCAGCTTAGAGCATGTGCTAACTTCGCTCAGGCAACTTTGTCACCCACGTCGCTGGGCTGAAGATCGCGTGTGTTACAATGGCCCCTGTCGCAGCAAACCCTAAACCCTAAACCCGAAAAAGTGCAATGCGGGCTCGTCCTTGCTAAGTGGGAGGGAAGAAACCCGAAAAAGAGAGAGAGTCCGGTGGAAAGAATCCAGGAAGGCCTCCGAGCCCTGTGCAACGTGCTGGGGACACGGCGACTCGAGGAAAAGGCCGTAGCCATAGACAAAGTCTGGGTTCTTGTTAAGGGGATTTAGGGTTCAGGGGCTCGGCACTCGTCTTTGCCGTGAGCCTTACACTTGAGGTGTATGAGGCACATGTTCACAGTTTCAATTCCTTGCAATCCTATTTGTTCGAGTCCTTCGAGATAGTATTGCTTACAGATATTTCTTCAACTGAAATAGTGAATCGCGTGCGTTCGATCCTCTTGTAGCCACGAGCGCTGCAGAAGAGTCCCGAATGAGTTGTGTTGTGGAGTTTCCCGGCTGGCTGCGAGAGTCCTGGTTGCATTAAAGGGTTTAGGGGATGTAATTAAGGTACCATAGTACGGACACCTTATTATTTACTATAGATCCCCATTATGCCAACTTAAATAAAACCCTTTATTAACAAGACCCCACAAATCGGCCCATGGCACTCCCCGAGACTTTGAGCTCTTGCAGGCCGCTGCTGAGAAGGTCATCAAGCACTTGAAGGATGGCCTGGGGAGTTATAGGGTTTTGGGGTTTTGGGTTTAGGGTTTAGGGATTTTGGGATTTTGGGGTTTTGGGTTTTGGGTTTAGTGCATTGCAGGCCCTGCTAGCAAAAAGGGTTTAGGGTTTATAGATTATACAGTACAGTCCTGCCTATACACTGTATAAGTATATGTATATGTCTATGTCTATGTACATGCATACACACACACACTTATATATATATATATGTATATATATATATGTATGCTGTTCATGATTTCGTTGCATGCTATATGTGTTCAGGTTCTTCTCTATATGCTATATGTTATGCGTCTTGCTTTATACATTACGTATATGTGTATTTACGACTGTTTGAGTTCCATGCCGAAGAGATTCCAAGGCAAAGGCTTGCAAAATTGAAGTCGCACCGAATACCTCACAAAGCTTTCGCGAATGCTTGTGCCTACACTTAGAGCCACAACCCAAATCCCGTGCCGTGAAGGACCAGCAGAAGGACTGCCGAGGGCAATACGAGTGTGCTCAGTTTGGCATCTGTTTAGATGCGGCACGGTTCGGTGTACTTGGAATCTGAGTTCTGTCGTGTGTCGGCTCGGATCCATCTTGAAATGGCATTGAGGAAAGAAGTGTGCACATCTTCTCCACCTGTTGTCGGAGTGCAGGAGGTGGAAAAGAAACGAAAAGCTTTCGGGGCCCCACCGAAGGATGCCAACGGTCGTCGCGTGGCAGCACAGCAGACAGTGCGAATGCATCTGAATCTGACTGCACCTTCAAACATGCCAGGCAAGCCTGTTTACTGTCCCATTCTTCGCTCAGGGTCATCATGCAGACACGGTACAGTGAGTGCGGTCAAGTCAAGGAGAGCGGTATTGGCCAGAACCACACTTGGACACCTGCGAAGAGTTGAAGGACGACTCAGGCAGATAACAGACTCATCTGCAGGGTTCAATGAGAGGATGTGATGATTGTTCAGGCATGTGCGACCCTAGGCATCGTGGATCACTCGCCGTGTCAAAAACTGACGGGTCATGGTTCGGGTCCGCATGCCAAGCATTGCTGTGCTGTCTTGAAAGCTCCGCGAAAAAGCTTCATGGCGTTGCTGTGAGACCCGACTTTCGCAGAGACCTGGGAAGGAACACCCTTCTGGATCTGGACTCGGAATACTGTGATCAAGACGGTGAACCTGGAGCAGAACCCCATAAGCGATGCAGATGCCTGGTGGCAGAGCACGGGTACCTTTTTCCCCTGATGTTTTTTGGGGGTTAGAGCCGGATCCTGTGCGACATTGTGGCATTCTGTGCCAGGACATGGTGGAGCGTCTCCAACCACATGGTGACTCTTGAATGCTGGGATTCAAAAGTTAGAGGGAGGTCTCAGGCAGCAACTTTGGAGAACCAACCAAATCCGGCAAAAAGCCTGGCTGTCAGCGACATTTTTGACGTTACATATCATTTTTCCATTCTTGTGTCGGATATTTTCTGTAGGGGGCCCGGGTGTTGGGGGGAGCAGAGGTTGCTCGAGTATGGGTGAGCTCTTTGTGGGTGTGCGGGGGTCACTGTTGAGTTTAGGGTTTAGGGTTTTGGGTGTTGAGGGGATTAAGGGGGAACCTGAGCTGAGTTACTCCACCGCGTCCGCACTTCGCAGGTACTGGTGCCTTGATACTGCGGTCAACTCCTTGCACGGCAGCGCTACTCGGGCAGCAAACAAGCTTGCAGAGGCAACCCTGGAATTGGGCCGATGGCTTAAGCTTCTGCGGAGACCCTGTGTTTGCGCCTGTTTTGAGCGAATCTCATGTTCCTCCCCATGCCATTTGTGGAGGAACCGCGTTCGAAGCAAGCAGTGTGTCAAACGGGACATTGCACACAGCATTCGAAGTGCATTCGGTAACTTTCTGGGTCGACCTTTTTTCTTGCAGGCTTCTCGAGCGACAGCAGAAGGCCAAGGAGCAAAAAGCCTCCACGCCAGAAGATGAGGAAGGCCGGGCGGAGCGGAGCATTTCATGAGCACGACACACATATTTGCACACCAGGCCGCGACGAGAGCAAAGGATGGACCCTGATCTTGAGCTGAGGGCCTTTGGTTTGCGATGAGCCTGCCACATCCAAAGACGGAATTCAGGCCCATGCGCTCCGTTGCCGATCCGTTGTCTCACCGTTCTCGTGGCTCCTCCACAAATGTAAGGTGTGGAGATGGACCCGCGCGCGACGTTCATTCAGCACTTTCAATGCGCTGTACATAGGCAGACCCTGAGCCTGTCGAATTTGACGGGATCGGTGGTCTCAAAGAAAGTTGAAGCTCCAGACCTTCCAAAGGTAGAAAAGCTTAGAGCAAGGTTTGCTGCGATGTTTGCTGCATCCAATGTCAAAGTATGCCAAGTCTGTACAGCCACGAGAGTCTCAGCGCCATCATGAAATACCCGACGCCCCACGAACCTGAACGGCAGCCCACAGATGTCCAGACATGCTGTAGACCAGGTGTTGATACTGCCCTCAGCTTCAACCTTTGATGAAGCCTTGACCTTTGGATTTCCGGCCGCCTCGTTTTGACAGAAGTCCTCCAGGAGCATTCTTCTTGCTTTCTAAACATGGAGGACCCGTGCTTCATGGCCCCGGCCCTGGCCGCTCTGAGCTCTCCTGCTTTTTAGGCGTTTCCTTCTGCGTGGCGGCCGAGGTGCAGGCCCGAGCTCCACGATTGCATGTTGCAACCTGTGTCATATTATGCCATTCTACGTTATGTCATTCTTTGTTCAGCACATGGTGACATCGTTCCGTTCATGAGTTTGAGCACATTGGCCGACTTGCTGTCCCATGTTCGCTGTCTAGCTCGAGGATCACAGCTGTGTTCCTGAGTTTTGTCCCCCCCTCAAAGGGGGTTCTTGTCATGGCTGCAAGGCGACGTCCGGCTTACAAGGGCCGGAGCTATAGCAGAAGTTTTCCGGGCGAAGCCCCACCTCCACCAAGCAAAGCTAAGAGGAGTAGTCCAACAGGAGACGACGTGGAGGCAAGTTTCCTGGAGAGTGTTCTGGCAGATGACATCGATGGCAAGGATGCAGAGACTGCGGAGATCACCGGAGCAGTGAAGCCAGTGGCTTCAGTGCCACATGTGCCACCTCGTCCTGGCTTTTCAAAAGGAAAAGTTCAGAAGGCTTCAACTCTGGGGGACTTGTCCCGTGTATTGGAGCAGACCTCCCAAGACGACGGCTCTTCCCCGGATGGTGTGGACACCACTCCGGGCAAAGAAATGCAGGGGAGCAGCCGAGTGCTTGAGAGACGGCTCTCCTATGCGGCCGAGAGTCTGGAGGATGTGGGCGCTGCAATCCGTGAGGAGGAGCCTGGCTTGGACTGGCTGGAAGGCTTCTGGGGCCAGGTGGGACCCGAAAAGAAGCTTTCGCAGCGGATCCCCTTAGGAAGCTATCCTTGATTCTACACTTAGACCCGAATCTTCAGAATCCCCCTAGGTGCTGGCTGGCAGCGCACCGCCACCGGAGTGCAAGAACCTGCTGCGACGGTCCCTCCCGGCGTGGGTCGACATGTACAATCGCTGGCAAGCTCAGGGCGATTGGAAGCCAGGGCATGCGCCAGCAGCTATGGATACATACGTGTTTCAGGAGCTGCTTTGCTTGCCACTGCTCTGGCCTCAGTCGCCTGCAGGGGAGAGAGGCCTAAAGAATCGAACAACGAGCATTCACGACGGTCACATTCGAGAGTATGGGCCTTAAGCCTTAAGCAATTCCACTGTCGCTTTTTGCAAGCTTCGGTTCTGAGACCCAGAGCTGCAAAAGTCTCAGTTTCAAAATGTCTTCTGCAGTGAACCTGGCAATGTCCTCAAATCTCTATCGTAACATCATAATGGGATCTATAGTAAATACTATACATTATGGTGATCTATAGTACATAATATGGTTTCCTTATTATCGTAACCTCCGAACCCCTGTCGAGGTCGACTCCAAGGGCGAACTACGAACCACAGTCTAGCTCGTTCCCTGACAGGTTGAGACAAGAGTCCAAGTTGAAACTTTGCAAAACCTATTGAAACCGTGAGTTTCAGGCCTCAAAGTCTTGCAAAGTTCGAGGGTGCGAGCCGGTTTCCGGTCGGTGCACGTGGTTTGCCTGTTCAATGAAGTGGCTTGGGCCTGCGCTGCGGTTTGTGAGGTGGGTCCGAAGGTTCGCGAGATTGTAGGCCCGATGAGCAGGTGATGGGGCATCCCTCCTTTGTCAGCCTTTGGTCCCTCCTCCCGCTCTCGTGCTCTCCGCCTCTCGCTCTCTATCTACCTCTACCTCTAGCTTTCTCTCGCTGTCTGTCTCTCCGACTGCCCCTCCCCCGCTCCATCCCCCTCCCTCCATCTCCCTCCCTCCCTC